GTTCAATAATCAATTTGGAAGATAATTGTGAACGGAATAAGGTTTGAAATTTATTGATGTTATTTTAAAATTTTGCATAGGCAGTGCTTTCACACTCATGGTTGTCAATTTCCAAAAGATTACAAGAGGCCACATTCAGTTACAGGAAAATATTCAATATATAATTCTTTGAGAACAAAGGGCCTTATTCGGATATGTTGTTGAAAAATTGTGGGTACTTTTCTAAAGAAACGATTATACAACAAGCAGACTCCACACGTAAGCATAGATTAGATATTCGACGAAGCTGTTAATCTGGGGACTTAAAACTGAACTAAAATATTATTCAATTAAATTAGCTCTTGAATCGTCCTATATTTGTTCTAGAATGGTTGGTACCAAAACTTAGAAATATGGACGAGGCCCCATTAGTGAGTTGCGTCGCGTCGTCGCAACGCACTGCATGCCACACCTGCGTTGCTTGACGCCACGAAGAAAAACCTCGAAGCTCTGACAACGCAACACATTACCCTCCCTCCCGCATGGTCTGTTGTACGTCGATCCGATGAAACATCGCGCGCGACAACACACCGGTCTAATGGAGCATTTAAAAAAATATACACATTCGAGATCTGTCGCGAACTTACGCATAATTCCATGACCCGCTTGACAGATCACTCTGCAAATTTGCACCGACCATAACCGAGCTACCAGACTTCTTATACTTCCCAGGACTTACCGTATTATAGGTATACTTTAAAATGCCCCAGATGAGACAAAATTCTAATCCGTATTTGATCGCTGCTAATTTTCTAAATTATTCTACGGTTGACAATTCATGCAAAAGTATGGATGGTGTGATTGAAAAGGAAGAAACGTATCGAAGAATTATGTTCAAGAAATGCTCGCAATTCCCGGCTTGAAGTTTCTAAAGATACCGTTGTCCCAAGCCCGGTTCTGTAAAAGTAATCTGCGACCACCGGCAAATACACATCCGAAAAAAATCACAGTTCCTTCACTTACGCCAGGATACACGTTTCATCCTTTTGGTGGGCGGGGATACATTCACATCCGGTGGTGGTTCCGATGGCACCCGCCGCAGAGCGCTCTGGTACCGCAGCAGGAACACGTGGACGGCACATTTCACGGGGGACAACAATATATCAGCATTAATAGTTGTCCCCACTCCCGTAGCACCAACGGAACTTTTTCGGGCGCGCCTCTTTGTCGCTCTACTACCGGCCCTACGCCTCCTTCTTCTACCCTTCTTCAACACTTCCCCCGGCACAATAACCTCTTTGCTAACCATGACACGACACAACAAAATGGCGGACTCCAAATTTAAAAAGAAAACTTAACCTAATCTAACGACTAACACTTAAAATAAAAATATAAAATCAAAATATAAATTATTATCAAACTTAATACTAATGTTGTCAAGGAAACGCGAACACGCAGTCTACGTAATTTCAACGGTTAGGTTGGATGAGCTACGTAGCAGATCTAGGGATAGGAGTAAACGGTTAAGATTCGCTCCACAACGGTAGCGGTACGAACGCGCCTCAAAGACTGCAGTCATCTCGCGTTGATTGAACACACTCGACGGTGCCACTACCCTCGTTTTAATTATTTTTCAAACAAGTTTCTTTTTTGAACTGACCTATTTTCATATAGTTTACAATATAGTAACAAAGAATAAGTTGTCAGTCGGCATGACATTATCAGAATATTAAAAATAACGTTTGCTGAATTAGTTCAACAATTCTCGTGTAATAAAGCTACAAAAGTTGCCGATTTAATTACAATTGACTTTGCTCAGCAATTTGAATATTTGCATAGCATATAATTATAATTAATGAAAGTAACTTTTATAGTAATTTTGCTACAACGAGATAATAGGTACATTCTGGTTTATTACGAGGGGAATACACTGACAGGGGTCGCGTCGAACTTGACCTTCGCAATGTTCAATCCCTCGGGTTGCGTGCACCCCTTAGATTAAAAGGACGCATAAAGCATATCACTAATATCAAATTGCGAATAAACCAAATACATGTAAATGTAACCAAAAAAATTTATTAAGAAAATTAAAAAACGTGAAAAATAATAATCAGGAGGTTTATACATTCATGAAAATTCTATTGAAGTGAGGTCAGGCGGCTTAATTGTCATTCCATTAAGTCGACAGAGAGGCACAGATATTGTGTTTAGAAATTGCTATTGCTGAGTGTCATAGGATTGATGATCAAATATGAACTACTTCGGCGACTGTACCACGTAACAGTTAGCGTAATTATGGAAAGTATAAAAATAATAATCATTTATTTGCCCAAAACAGGGTATAAAGTTGTTACAAAATTGTTAATGTCCGATGAACTGGATTTTGTTTTGTATGTACTTAGGGGGCATTCGTTAATTTTGTTTATCCGTAAATTTTGGCAAATTTTGACCCCCTACTCTCATTATAAGGATACATATGATTCATTTCGTTTTTTAAAATAATAAAATATTGTCTGGAATGGATCAGTTACACTATTCGTTCGAATTCATAACTATTGTTATAACTTATAAAATAACGCATAGAAAATAAAAAATATTTAAACATAATTAAAATATATTGACAATCGGTCAACAACTGTTGTGTACAGTTAACCTATTTAACCCTATTGACTTTATAATAGGTATACCATATGTTTTTTACCTTTCAAACGCAAATGAAATGTGATCCCTACAAAAGTACCTGACTGCGCGATTTTGTTGTAAAATGTAGAATTGAAAAAAAATTAATCAAACGATTTTCATTTTGACATGTATAAAATCTGCTATTTTTTCGAACAGCGACAAAACTTCACATTGCGTCCACACGCTTCACATCCAACACCCTCCCTCCCCCATGAGACTTGAAAACATATCTGTCCCATCGTAACCTATAATGTGTTTAAACTTTGTGAAACTTTCTTTTTTTTATAATGAATTGGACACTGGCACCTGGGGCTAATGCCTCCACTTTCCTCTCCTAGATTCGGCCCTGAAAGTTGTCCCTAAAACTTTCTATCCTAATTTGGCGTTAGGCCCCCAATTATTATATCTTAATCAATAACAATGAACCAGCTTAAAACATTCTTGAATTTGTTTTCTTAATTTAAAAAAAATACAGCCTCCAGGTCCTCCATTAAGAGGTAAAGTTTAGATGTCTTATAATTCATTCTCATTTAATGACCCTTGTTTACCTTTTATATTTACTATAGCAAATCTTTCCTACCTCTTTTAACAACCTCTATAGCAGAGTGGTTCGCAGACCAGTTTCGAGGTGTCTGAAGTCCCAGATTCTATTCCCATACAGGTTGAAAATGAACTTTACTATATTGTCTTGGTTCTGTATGTTGTGCCTTTGTTGTCCCCGATACTCCATAATGCAATGCATTAGCTATTCATCTTGTTATGTTGTCTAATATTAATTTCCCTATCTGCATGTTAGGTAGGTGTTTTTCTTCATAGCTCCCCAGAACCCAATCTTACTACATAGCTAACACTGATTAAGACCTATAAGTTACTTCATACCAGGCAATTATTATTTCCAAAAATATTGTCAGTGTGCTAAAATCAACATCATATTATGGTTAAAAACATTACAATCAGATAAAAATACCTTATTATTTCCTCCATCTAGAAATGAAGTATAAATTTTTTAATACATACCTATTACACACATTACTAAGATCTCATAAAAAGTAACATACAGACATTTGCCTTTTTAATTAAAATAAAATGAGATCATTTCAAATAAAAATAAATCACAAATACATTTACTTTCTGCATCAATACACATGGGAGTTAATAAATAAATGAATTAAGGAATAGCTATATTTCGTAGGCAGTGCAGAGGTTTGCCTTCCAGAAAGCACTGCAGCTATTAGTCTTCTTGGAAATTATTATTATTAACATAACTAATGTAGATGACTTATCTTTATATATTTAGCAAGTAAGGAATACTTTTAGCTAATTTAAAATTGTCTCCATACTAGTATAAAGTATAAGGGGCTATTTACACAAACCCAGTAGCTAAGCCAATGCAGTAAAATAAGAAACCATTGTATTTTATTGGACTAGCTTGATGATTGTCTCCAGTTTACAACACAAGGTCTGTGCTGAAGCACAAACTTTTTGATATTATTTATGTTTTTATAGTTTTTTATATTTTGTTTTACTTTTGATAGAAGTCATTGTTTTTCTGTATGTCTTGTCAAATATACCGATTCTCCACGGAACCAGCAGCCTTTAATTTCAGTACTCCAGAATTCTCAATAAGGTCAATACTGGACTGTCATGGCTATTGGTCACTTGTAATTTTTCTAATATTTTCTTTATTATCATCATAAACTTTTGAATTCTCATTGAAATAAATATAAAAATATTTTACTTTCCAAATCCAATTATTCATACAGAGGGACTTTTGTTTCATTGAAAACAATTAAATCTTAAAATGTCAAAGAACTAGAATAGTAAAATAGTATAGTAAAAAAATAGAATAGTAAAAAAATTATAAAAAGAAACCATTTCCAGAGAAACAAAATAAGCCTTATCAAATCTTTTTGTGTTCAGTTTTCTTATTCGTTACATGAACTGATATTCAACTGTACTGATATTATGACAATGCAACATCACAAATTATATTCCTGGAAATATTCATTACCTAGTTTAGAGGATTACTAACTTATAGTAACCCAAAATGTTTTGACTTAGAATAGGTAAACCAATTGACAATCATTAAAGGTAAGTCAGCAGCTCCTTATAGTACTGCATCAGGCTGCAGCATATATGACCTACTTTTAGAACAAGTATATCAAAAAGGCTATATTAACCAAGAAATATATGGTATCTGGAACGGTACCTTTGTTCAACTGGCTTATTTGTAAACAATAGGTAGTTTAGGGGCAGATTATGCAGAAAAACGAATAATAATAATTTTTGAAGTAATCAAGTGGGTAGTACGACTAAAGCGTATACAAAGGAACACTCACCTTCATAGTTGGAGCCATCCTTCGGGCTGTTGTCGTTCGATTTCTCTTTCAAAGAATTCAATAAGCTCACAGCTGACATAGTAAAAATATAACAGATCAAACACACAATTTTTCAGTCTTCGCTCAATATATTAACTTTTTTAAAATCTAAAATAACTTTACAATATTTACAAAAGACTTCAGGAAATTACTCTATCACCTAAATGTATTGTTTATATCACAGACTTTTCGTTTTTCAATACGGATAAAAACGTCCACGCACGAAACTACTATCAATATTTACAAGACTCCGGGTATAATAAAGTTATTTACACATTTAAAAACTAGTGTTATCAGCTAATTTTAACAAATACGCTCTAGCGGTCACAAGAGACTCATAACTAAAAGAATTTATCAGTTTTCGATGCAAAAATATATAAAACGTCCGCCATATGCCTTTTGAAAACGTATATTACAACACCGTCAAAATCAGTAGAGATGCACTATTAGCGTAGCAGTTGAAGAATGTGGTTTCGTAAATTAGTTGGTTTATATCCAGTTGCCATTTATGCCATTTACTTACTTTTATTTTTTTATTAGCAAATGGCATTTGGCATTTGTAATGATTCTCTGCAGTGTCTGCAGGTCTTTGTTTTGTTCAGTATTTTGTTAAGGAACCTCCCTGATTATAGAAGATACAATAAATTAATTTTAATGTTTTCTGGATAACATAAAATTAAAATTCCATTTAGAAATCATTCTTGAGGAAGAAAAAATAACATATAAAAAAGAAACAACAGGAAACGTTGACGCTAAAATGTAGTAACGACATAATTATTAACGTCACTTAAATCAAAATACAAACTAAACTACTACAACAAACAACTTAAATAGCAGAAATAAATTGTCGAAACTTTTATTATAAGAAATACAAGGATCTAGAAATGCACGATAAGTTATTTATGAAAATTCATCCCAAAGATGGGCTAAAAAATTCAAATATAAAAGTAAATTAATTTTCAAAGCTCAATAAAAAAAGTCATATTCTATTTGTACTTTTCCGTATTTGTAGTGATAACTAAGTTTCAACTTTACAAATTTCAGTTTTCTTATATGTTAGTTAAAAGAAACAGAAATATAATTGATTCATTCGTTTTCTGCAAAAATCAACCTTTGGTAGTCTAGTGAGGTGCTATTTTAGTGCTTTGTATTATTTTAAATACTTCCTCATTCAAGCTTATGCATACATAGAATGACATTCGTTTCAGAGTGCTGAGACGTCAGAGCGACGCCATGATAGAAGAGGCGTTTTCGCGGGAAATTTTGAAAATTTAATTTAATTTTTATTTATATTTTAACTAACTTAGACTTTAACTTACTTATATGAATAATATTTTTTAAATATATTTCATACATATCTATAAATTAAATAGAAAAAAATATCTACAAGCCTATTATTTGTTGGTAAAATAGGAATTGAAAGTTAGTATGAAAGGCCGTCACCTTCTTTATTAGATACGAGAAACTTTGTCAATAATAGTTATTAAAACGCACTGATACGTAGCGATTCGCCAAAAAGATTCAGTAAATTAACCCTTAGCTGGTAAAACAAGGTTTTGAAAAGTATGTAGGTAATCCACATAGGGCAAAGAAGAGTTTCACGATCGTCAAAATATGTAAGTATACAATAATTTGTAATCAGTAGCCCTAAAATAAAGTTTAATGTTTTTAACTTAAAAAATTAAGGATTTAATGAGTAATTTCACTATTAGCCCTCTGATTTGGGCTTTTGTTGGAAGTTTATAGAGCAAAAGTGATTTTTTTTTAATGTCTGGTAAACAAATTTATAACCGCCACCTGCATTTTGACTGAACCAATAATATTATGCCGATGGCACACAGATCAAAGTTTTGAAAACTAATTTACTTTTATACATGAAAGAAAACCGGAAAGGTTGTCATGGAGAAATCAAGAAAGCACTGTAGCGACATCTAGTATGATTTCGAGAACTAATGTTTTTTTTTAAATACTTCCTCATTCATTTTATAAAGAAACAAGTACAAAACACAAAATTTAACTTCAGTTTCTTTTCTATAATACTATTTGTTCCCTTCGTAAATAAATAGTTGGTAAATAGGTTATGTCGCATTGGCATATTTACCGGCATGTGACGTCACAAATACCACGTGATCAGCGCCATTACATAGAGCAGCATTTTTGTGTGATTTTGTCTATTCAAACTTTAACAAATATCACAAATGTATGTAATAATGTTTAAAATGTATCAAACAACCATTTAAAATATTTGTATACCCTATTGAATAATACGTGTGCAACGGGCCATCACCACATAAGCCTAATGTCTGCAGTATAGCTATGATCCTTTACCTCTCTCGATGAACGAAACAAACTACTATTAATGTCATTGTCATCTGACTGTCACTGTCAATCACTGCCTTGACGCTTGTGCTATGCTGTTGCATTGTACGCATACGTGAAAAGATTATGGTTGAAATTAATTAGTGTGGTATTTCTTTTCTTAAAATGTCTGTGAAATGGACTGGTAATCGTAGTGAATCCGGTATATTGCGTAAAAGTGAGTTCAAGGAGAAGAAAGAAGAACTATTCGTGTTCGGCTACTCGTGCAAATTGTTCAGGGACAATGAGAAAGCCCTGCACATTGATCAAGGGAAACACCTCATTCCGTGGATGGGGGATGAATCGTTGAAAATCGACAGGTTCGATCCGTTTTTTACTATAAGACTGCTAACTGTGCCGCTAAAAGTTATTTTAAAATGATTAGTTAATCAGAAAATGTTAAATTTTTGGAAGAGCTTAAAGATTTTCGCAGAGGATGTTTTTCTGAAGTCGGTGCCTGGACAAATGTGACGGGCTGCCTTGGCGTGCTGTTTAATGTTACGGTGACATTGTGCGGTGGTATGTATAACTTGGTACGGTATCTTACAGTACATATGTTATCATGTTATGTACGTATGTTTTATTATGTATCAAAAACGACGTGTTTATAATCGTCAACATATGTCTTTCTGATTGTCACTTAAGTGAGAATGATTATATTTTTAAATAACATTTTTAAAAACAATTGAAGTAGCTATTCAAAGGATTACACTCTTATTAAGGGCACAAACATATAGCACTACCTAAAGAATTTAAGAGCAACAGTAAAGTTCATAATAATTAAGATAAAATAATTTCAACATTAAGTGTGTTGGTTCATATATGACTTTATGCAATCATGTTTTTGAATATCACCATTAATATATGGTTCTGAAGTTAAACCATTTGGGCAGGTATGACGCAAGAGGAGCCCTGCATGACCTGTCATCTCTGGAGGCCCCGCCCGGTGGTTATGACTGGCGTGTGGAGCTCACCAAAGCAGAATTGGATGTGGAACAGCTCTGCGATGAAGAGAGATACCGTGCACTCCGTACAGATGAAGATGAAGAAGAAATGTATAAAGGTGTCAATCTTGTTTTGCACTGTAGAAATTTGTACAGGCTCCAATTTAAAAGCACAAATTTAAGCAAAAGAAATCTTCTTCGTAACTTATTTTTTTTGAGAAAGTCATACTCTTGGATCTTTCTTGTTATGATATGTTTAAATTGGTTGGTGTTAATGTTACGACTAAAGATAGATGTGAACATAAATGTGATGAGCCTGCTTAACTTAGCCCTGTCTTTTTATGTAGAGGTTGTATGCTACTATTTTTATTTTAATGAACAATTAAACAAAAGAGTATAGATATAGATTTTGTTTTGTCATATTAAATTCTATTAAAAAACAAACTTTTGTAATATATACTTGTGCTATTAAAATTACAAAATAAAACTTCATTAGTGTTGATTACTGATTCATTGATCATTTAAGTAATTAATTCCTTAATATTTTTAATTATGTTATTCAAATATTAGACAGTGTGATGAATAGATTTGCACTAGATTTGCACTGGAATAACGGGGTATTGCATTCAAAAACAATCATTTGTTGATTACTACACAGTTAATTATTGCAGGTGCTTAAGTAACATATGCAAGATAATAATATTTAAACATTTTTATTATTAATTGATATTAAAATTTTTTGTCATTAATATAAAATATTGGTAATTAAAATACAATTGAAAGGTATATCAAATTACTTAAGATTATAATTTCCCTTCTTACGATGTGTTTGCCCCATGTCCATTATATTTAGATAGCTATATTTTATGTTGTTCTTCCTTTAGCCATAACATATCACAAAGTACCACAAAATAAAAAAAATCTACTTTGGCACCCATCACTCGCTAATAACTTATTCATCTCTGTCTTGCGTGTTTCAAAAGTTCCTTGACCAATTAATATAGAATGTATCCTGAGAATTTTATACTATAAATTTCTAGTAATTAATGGTCTTATATTACATATTTTTTGTTTTGTAATCATCCTCTAGTAATCAAATTATCTTAGAAATTTAGAGCTTGTTTCATCTATTTTCTCAAAATTATACATTTTTTTAAATCATATAAAGGTCACTTACATGACATTGGCAAAATTGTGTATATGCAAACATGCTATAAAATAATAAAGAAGAAGAAAAGGTTTAAAAAATTAATTGTAGAAAGCTAGTTATGATATTGCTTAAGATAATCAGGAATTAATAAATCAGTAGTGTTTCTAACATTTGTGGCTTCTTGTGTACAAATGTCACAAATGTTAAAACATTAGTAGCAAGTTTCAAAATAAACATTCTATACAATAAAATAAAAACATCTTCAGTGTTATTACAAAAGAGACATTAAACAGTGTTTTACCATGTGTTTATCTAAACTGTGTTTAAGAATATAAACCCTGTTTAAAATGATGTCTAATTTTCCCTATTACAAATTCATTTTTAAACATTGTCTAAGTAAAGAAACATTCGTACTACTGGCTTTCATTCGTTCATACACGTTCAATTCTATGCACGCTGTATACAAACTTATAATAAATTTTAGACGTAAAAAGATATCTTTTAAACACACTAGTTAATAATTCTTGTAAATGAAAATATTTCATCTAAAATTATCATTTTTAATTTAAGTTCAAAGATATAATTCTTATCAAAGTCAAAACTATAGTGTAATATTGTGAAAGGTAAGATACTCCTTAAACAACATATCATGTGTCAACATGACATGTGTTTAAATTTTAAACAATGTTTAAGGGTTGTTTTGCCTTAACCAATGCTCAAATAGAACAATTTTTAAACACGTGTTCAACGCGTGTTTATCTTTTTTGTAATAACACTGCTTATGTTTTATGATTAAATGTTATTTATGATGAATGATAAAGATTTATGCATTCATTTGTTCACTTTTAGAGGAAGAATTGAAGAGGTTGCATGCTGCCGGCTATGGACAAGTAGGGTTTAACTACGATGCGCCTAAGGAGCAGGAAACTCTGCCATTGGTGGAAGTGGAGGAGCCCTTCTTGCCTTCAGTAGCCTTCAAAGCGCTATTGCCAGAAGGAATGGTTTTGGTGAGTTTATTTATAGGTTAGGCTAATAAGGGTTGTTTACACATTTCTAGACATCTCGCAACTGTTAATGTAAGTAATGCGAAAAGTAAGCAAAAAATACCTTGAGATGTAATAATCGTCAGCTGTACATAATCTGCTATAAATTTACTATTTATTTATACACATTTAAAATTGTATGCCAGCATCCAAAAATACAGGCTATTTCTCTTTATTTATATCAAGCTCTATTGATTTCTACAGCTTTGTATTTCATACTATGTGTTATATACTAAGTCTATTTAATTGTTTGCAGCCTGAAACTTTAAAACAGAATGCCATCATAGAAAAAACGGCAAAGTTCATAGCAAACCAAGGCACTCAAATGGAGATCTTGATCAAAGCAAAGCAGAGGGACAACCCCCAATTCAAGTTCCTCAACAAGGATTCAGAACTGAACGCATACTACACCGTTCTCATAGGCCTCGTTAAAGCAGGCACATGGCCTGAGAAGAAAATCGAAGTGGTTGAAGGTGAGCAGATTAGGTTTTATGTTTTTAACCCACAGTACTAAGGTTGAAATTTTATAGAACAAACTAAGTTAACCTTTTTTTATATGATTAATTAATAAAATATTTTTTTTTAGAGAAACCACCAGAACCAGATGAATATCTACATCCAAGTTTGGCATCAACCATTATTGAATCTGTAAGTAACAAAAATATAATTTTACATTGTGATTAACTTTTGTTTTTGAAAGTAATAGAGTTAGTAACTATGTTTAAAAATTATTTTAAAACGAAAGTATATAAGTATTTGATCATTAGTAAAATATCTATAATATATCTAAATATATATAATTCAGAGGTAACTGACTGACTGAATAATCTATCAACGCACAGCCTCTAGACGGATCGGACTGAAATTTGGCATGTAGGTAGATGTTATTACGTAGGCATCCGCTAAGAAAGGATTTTGATCAATTCTACCCCCAAGGGGATAAAATAGGGGATGAAAATTTGTATGAAACTTTGTCAATTTTAATCCAATCCAGCTGAGACTTTGCACGCATAAAGCTACTATGACGTAGTAGGCATCCTCTAAGAAAGGATTTTGATTAATTCTACCCCCAAGGGGATAAAATAGGGGATGAAATTTTGTATGAAACTTTGTCAATTTTAATCCAATCCAGCTGAGACTTTACACGCATAAAGCTACTATGATGTAGTAGGCATCCTATAAGAAAGGATTTTGATCAATTCTATCCCCAATGGGATAAAAGTTTGTATGAAACTTTGTCAATTTTAAACCGATCGGGCTGAGACTTTAAATGCATTAAGCTACTATGACGTAGGCTCCCCTAGGAAAGGATTTTGATAAATTCCACCCCTAAAGGGATAAAATAGGGGATGAAATTTTATTTCAGGTATTTTACACGATATAATGATATTTTGCACGATATATTGATATTCGTTAGAAATGCTGCTCAAAGTACCACGCGGACGAAGTAGCGAGCAAAAGCTAGTGTTTATAATAAGACTAAAGACTTATTTTAAGGACCATACGTTAATGTCAATATTTTATGTACCTACTTATTTTAACAGCAACATAGCGATTGTGCGGTTTGTTGGGAATATTAATATGTAATAAATTGTCAGACCTTAAGGAGTTCACACCTCAGTAGAGTATTTAACTAATTTCGAAAATACGTTTTTAATTGTTTTTTTATTACTTAATAAGCACATTATATTAATATTCGAAAGAGGTAAGGATTTAATTGTTTGTTTGCTGTTTGTTTGCATCGAATAGGCCCCGAAAGTAAGGGACTGATCTTAAAAATTCTTTCACCTACAGATAGCTAAATCAAATGCAGTGGACATAGGCTATATTTAGTTCCGAAAAACAATGAATACAGGGATGAAAATAGGAGTTGAAATTTGTGTAGCGAATTAAAACATTGCCATAGTAACCATCGTTTACTATTCAATTTGCCATTATAATTATATTCCGTGTCATAAAACCTTATCCAAATGAATTATTTAATTAAATTCTAAGCTTGTATTAACATGTGGGCTGGGGACCATGCGGGCGAAGCTGCTGGCGGAAAGCTCGTTATTAATAAAAATCAAATTTAAATTTCCGTAACCGCGCTAAAACGCGCTGTTTGTCATACGTCGCGTATGCTATCACACGCAAGTAAATGAAACACTCAAAAAGCAACACGAGGACTACCTATACAATTGTCAACTACTATCGTCAGCAGAAAGCCATATTTACTAGCTTATGACGTCATCGGAGTTGCAACCATTTACAGTGTGTTTCGGTCTCAGATAAAATGTCAAAAAAAAAAATATTTAATTTTATTTTGTGTTTTCTGCAAAAATTAATGCATAATTTATTTCGCTTAAAATATAGTGAAATATCTGTTATTTATTATAGGTGTACAAGAATCTGATGGCACAAAAACAAATGAAACAATTTTGATTTTCTTAAGGCAATGTTATTTGTCAACTATTGACAACTGTCAATGTAATAATTGTTGCTGTCCAATCAAAACATTAGATGATGGTAATATAAAGTACACAGATGTACCTTTTATGTCTTACCCAGATGGGTAATCTATTCTATCTATCTATGGAGGTTTAAATTCGCTCAAGGGTATGTTCAAATCTATGCGAGAGTTATTGAAAAATGTTTAATAAATTAAAAATACTACAAGTATCAAGACGTCTTTATCCTTTTTCCCCAATCTTTTTTTGTAGTAGGCAAATTAAAATTTCCCGATTTGCCATCAGATTCAGTTACTACAGGTGTACAGATACAGGTGTAAATATATCGATGAAGTTTTGTTAATGACATTGACGTCACACACTTTTGATTTGAAGTCTTTGAAGTCACGTGAAATTCTACCTGTATGTTGTCACGTGACATGGCAGCTCGCAGGTAGTGATATTAAATTAGAAAAATTTACGTAGCCTGAACCTAATTATTAAAAATTACTAATTTAAAAATAATAAATATTGGATATGTTTAATTTAAATTTCATGTTATATTTTGGTTACTGTCAATAAGCCTGATGAATGTATTCGTTTCAGGCACCATCTATTCCGAGTATACAGTATCGGCCGTCAGCGGACTGTGATTATACGATGCTAGTGTCCAAGATGCGCGGTGAGAGTGCTCTGGACGAGCCGTATAGTGAGTTGGCGCCGGGTGAGGAGCCGCCCCCGGGGACGGAGCCGCTGCCTCCGCGACCTCACGTCCATCCACACGTCCACCACATCACCAGGCCCCCCCTCATGTACCACCGAGCCCCGTCCGGTCAGTACACTTGTAACGAGGTCCAGACTAGCTTCATGTGAACTACCAGTCAAATAAACCTTCCAATTTGCATTGGGCCAGTGTGGTAGGTCGTAGCCTATCCTCCTTCTGATTCGAGTGCTGCAATAATCTGTTTTGCGTGGTCCAATTCCACCATAGATTAACAATGTTCATGTATTTATGTAGATGATCAATCGTCGTATGTACAGCCGGTACAGTACGCGGCGTACAATAGTCACCATGTGGTCCCGTCCCCGCCTCCGGCTGTACCACAAGCGTCCACCATCATCAGTACTACCACTAACACGTCGACGGGACTCAGTTTGATGAAAAACTATAACACCGATTCGGAGACCGAAGATTCGGGTAAATATTTTTTATCAGGCTCACAAAATAGGAGATCGGATAGCAATTAGAAAAAAAAATTGTGTGTGGCTAATAAGTTCATAAAGTTTAAAAATTAAATAATAATTAGAATTATATATATTTGTGTGTGTAAATTGATAGTACAATTATCTAGTTAAAACGCGGGAAACATTTAAAGTGCAAAATAGTTTTAAGGATTTACTTGTTTTGAAACAAGTTACAAGGGCTAGTCTTCTGTATTACTTAGTTATGTTGTTAGTTACTATACATACTAAATATTATAATACACATTTTTTCATTGAAAATCCCTTTTGTTTACCCCACCAATGACGTCACGTCCTCAGACTCGCCGTTTATTGTTTATTAGAAACATTGTTTTGGGTACATAATAAGGTTTATTTACATTTTTTTTTGTGCTCATTGCTCATTGCTTTAAAATCAATATTCTTATTGATTTTAAAGCAATGAGGAAGGCTATTGTCAAAATGTCGCCGCCGTAGCTTCATTGCAAAAGACAAAAACACGAAATAAAAAAAACGATCTCTATGAAGGCTGAAGCTACAACATCGCTATTGCATCTGCGATTAGCTTTGACCGACCACATTGAAACCTTATTTATTACATGTGTAATCAATAATGATTTTGTCTTAGATTTTGACGACACCTCATCGACTGAAAGTAAACTGCCCGCCATCTTGGTTCCGCCGGAAGACGTGCAGGTGGTCATTGACAAAATGGCCGCGTACGTAGCTCGGAACGGGGACGAGTTCGCGGAGATAGTGCGTGCGAAAAACGACCCTAGGTTCACATTTTTAGAGCCGGCTCACGAATATCACCCGTATTACCAGAAACTGATGCAAGAGAAGAGAGGGATAGATGTGAACGGCACTAAACAAGGGAAGAGGAAATCGTCTGGTAAGTCTGATGCAATGATGATTAATAATTGTTTTAAATAGTGGGACAGTCTCATGTGATCGAGACGAGTCAATAGCCCATAAACTGCCGCAATCCAGATTTTTGATAGCAGTTGTCTGGTTATGATTTGATTAGAAACCATAGTGAGATATTCAAATTTCATAAGCACTTGTTACTTTCTTTACGACTGGACCAATATCCATTAATTATCGGGCAATAATGAGATAGGCGACTGAAGTATTTAAAAAGAAATATTTATTTAAGACGAAAATGTATTATTTTATTAAACTTTGCATTGATATTTTAAATTAATGTTTTAAAATAGTACTGAAAATTCTATCTAGAGATACATTTTACGCCGGACCCCACATAAAAACTGTCTATTATTAATTCACTTATTGAAAGTACACACTATACATATCCTATTAATAATATTATAAAGGCGAAAGTTTGTAAGTATGGATGTATGGATGTTTGTTACTCTTTCACGAAAAAACTACTGGACGGATTTGGATAAAACTTTACAGCAATATAGGTTATACATCAGAATAACACATAGGGTACTTTTTACTGGGAAAACTTCTCACTCCCACGGGATACCGACTTCCACGCGGACGAAGTCGCGGGCGTCCACTAGTCTAATAATATAGTAATCAATGTTTGAATCCGCCAACCAAATTGATGCCAGTTTATTTGGGCAAGGAAAAGATCCAAATCACAAAGTGATCACTATTAAACATTTTATTTAATTATATCTTAATTCCTACAGCACCAGTCTCCTTTTCAATCAAGAAACTCAAAGAACCAGATCCGATATTACCAAAGCCTGCTCTTCCATACGAATCGAGTTCCGAAGACGAATCTGACAAACAAGAGAGACATGACGAGCCTAAAGATGTACCTAAACCTGTCCCACAACCTTTACCGGCTGTCATTGTTCCACCAGTAGTCGTGTATAAGATAGAGAATCCCACTCCGGAGCCAATAGTGGAAATCGTAAAACCAACACCGAAGCCGGTAGTGATACCGAAACCGGTTGCGCCGCCGAATCCAGTGCCGATACCAAAACCGATTCCAGATGTGAAAGAGGAACCCAAACCGGTTGTTGTTGAAATGAAACCGGCTCCTGTTGCCGAAGAGTGTAATAAACCTCAGATTGTCAACGACAAAAAGAAAGTGTCAGAGAGTCCTGTGAAAGAGAAAAGGAGATATAAAGAGAGGAAGAAGGAATATAGATCTAAATCGGAAGTAAATGAGTCCTGGAGGCCAGAGAAGAAGAGTGTAGACAGGGAGAAAAGGAAAGATAGGGACAGCGAAAGAGTGAAAAAGAGACGGGTTATTAGTAAAGAAATGTGTGAGAATGAAATAATTTCACTGGTCGACAATGCAGAAGAATTGATCGACTTGACTGGCGATCACTCGGATACAAAAGGTAAGTAAACAAAAGAAGACTTTATAAGTACTAACTTTTAGTTTATTTCATCGGGTTTTCAGTAACAAATTCATGATTGGCAAATAATTTACTGTTTCTGTCAATTTTAATAATATTTTTTACATTCTTATATATTTTCATTATTATATTATCAGGTTTCCGTATCCAGAAAGTTAGACCTATGTGATAATATGACCGCTTGTATTGCACACACTAACGTTTATTTTTTTTGTAATGTTTTTTAATTAGGTACATCTATATAGTATTCCAAAAAGTATAGTTATATAAAATTAATGAGTATAAACAAACCTAGTAGTGATAAAAGCTATTTACATAATGGAGCGCAGTTGACCGTGAACATGTGACTAAGATAGCGGAATTTTCGTTTGTTGTCCGTCTGTCACCAGACCATATCTCATGGACCGTGATATGGACAGTTGAAGTTTTCACAGGTGATGTATTTCTGTTGTCGCTGCAACAACAAATACTAAAAAACAAAATGAGGAGTTCACATACAACAAAAGTGTTTTTTTTTTGCTTTCCGGTATTGAATTCGTTATATCATTTAATGTGATAAAATAAAGTGACTATTTACTAACTAAATTAATTATATTCTCTTAATATGTCGTGGTCACGCAGGTGACGTAGAATCGGAAGGTGATAAAGTGAAACAGCAGGAGAGACGTCGTCGCGCGGCGGAGTTTCTCAAGAAAGTGGGAGTCGATCCCACCGCCGCCGCTCTCCCCACCACCTCGCTCGCCAGTGCCATGGTCAGTATCATATACAGTTGACACCATATCAGATTACTACTACAAAATGCAAAAATCAACATAATCTTCATTCGCATATACTTATTCACAGAACAGAACTGAACTGAACAGAATTAACAGAACAGTTCTGTTAATAAGCGTATTGAATCGTCTCAACAATTTTACCGACCACCCATTCAGGAAGTCGTTTATTTTATAAAAAGAACAAGCAAAAGAATCCTACCAGCTCTAACAACATTTTTAAACATGTAATTGCCAAATCAATATTAACAATATGAATAAAAAGCAAATTGAGATTTTGAAATTTGAAAAAATCCACTCAATTCTAAGCCTTAATCTGTTGATAGTTGAGTTCAAAATCGTTAACTGTTTGTATTCTATATGTATATGGACAAATTTAGAATCTTTGTATTTTTATTATTGTGTTTGTTGCCATTAATCCATAAAGCTGAACAATGGTGTCTAAACATGTTGTTACTTAACATATACTCGCTGTACCTGGAGGTCAACAATCGATTTTGTCGATATGCCTACAGTTTGTTTGTTCCAATACAGTTGTTTTATGTGGTGAATATAATTTTGATTTTCATCTTAATATCACATGATTATCTTTATTATATATGTCGACGGGTAGTCAGAAGGGGCTTTTACGAAGCCCAAATAGATGGTCCATATCGGAGGAATATCTTTAAAATAACACTGCAGGCGTGTATACCAACGTGGACTTGTTCCATTTTATTACTTTTCATACGAAAATATAACGAGATGAGCGTGATGTCGTCGGATGTCTTTACTCCTCGGCGATCGGAAACAAAATGTGTGCCAAAATGGCGGCAATTAGCTTTTTTGTTAACGAACTGTCAAAGTCAGTGTCACCATTCTAATAAAATCGAGTAATAAAGTAATCGAGTAACTAGCAATTTAAAAAAAGTAACTAATCAAACGATCTTCGTAAAGATGATGCGACATATAGATCTTCTTACTAATTAAAAATTAAAAGTAGAGTCGGCTTATTAATATAGTTTTATTATGTAGCAAGATCTTTGGATGTTCATGTCTGATTGACATATTTCAATTTATGAAATAATATATTCTGCGCGTATGATTTGTGTACGTACATACCGGAATGACGTTATGAGTCAGCAAAAAAACGTGTGGCGGCGTCATATAAAATATTCCCGCCAAGTAATTCTATAAACTATCCATAGAGATGGCTTGTGCTCCAATAATGGGGACATAAAATGGCTGTCGGTGTTATGTAAGATGTTAAGATGATTTGAAGTGACTAGTGTATTTTGTTTTTAGGTGGATACTCTGGAGTCGTTGAGGAAAAAGAAAGCGGAAGAAGAAGAGAAGAGAAGGAAACGCGAGAAGCGACGTCACCGAGACAGATACGGTAACGTGTAGCTATTTATTATCGGACGACCTCGGTCGCCGAGTTGCGGGGTCAATATCGAAAATTATTTTTTTATATTGTCTCTGAAATGGATCTTCGTTTATTCTGACCTCGACTTGCTAGTTAACTTGGAGTATGAGCGTTCTATAATTATGACAATCTATATGATGTTGTCTAATATAATATTATCAATCTGCAATCTGTATTTGATAATTTATTTATCTTTGCAGTATATCAAAGGTAATGTGTGGGCTGTTTTAAACGGCTCTTTGATGTTACGATTTTCATTTTGTCACTTTGTCATTTTGTTTTGGGCTTCTCATGATTCGTGATATAAATAATTATAGTGTGACAGTATAAATTTTCGCAGATGATATATTTCTGTTACCACTATAACAACAAGTCCTAAATAATGGAATAAATTAAACGTAAGGAGGCGCCCATACGAACGTGATTTTTTGCTCGTAACCGGTAAGGAGCCTTTCGTTCGCGATACCAACTTGCACTTTGCCATTTTTTTAACACTATTTAATAAGAATTCAACTATGTCAATACTTAAAAATGTTTTTAACATATATTTTTTTAAATAAAATATCTTTAATTAGTATTAAGTGATTAGCATAATGATGATCTTAAAATAAATAATTAGGGCTTCGGTCGATTAAAGACTTCTCCGTTATTTCTGAGACTAAAGGCTGAGGCTTAAAACTTTGAAAAAAAAAACGCAAAAATCCTTTTATAGATGACAGGAAAATATATAAAAGTAAGGTTTTTATATTTCGATATTCAGAGTGAGAGTCCAACTTGTTCTTGGTCGGTTTTTTCTTATTAAAATACAGGGTACTGTCTAAAATTGGAAAGTCCTGCAAAATACAGAACACACTTCCATCCTAATCAGCATAAGTTATATTTTTTGTTCTACTTTATTTAGATAGATAATTCATTTATTCGCATCACGAAATGAGAACATATTTATAGTATACATTATAAATTAATAATAATAAAAAATCAACATCCGCATTTCTTTTCACACCAATTCCTTTAATCTGGGATCAAAGCACTGATTTTCAGCCTTACTTTACAGTGCTTTTATTACAATATTGTAATGTTGCAGATTATCAAAATGGATCCGAGCGTTCACACCGAAAGAGCAAACGTCGAAGGAGGTACAACTATATGTTAAACAATGATGACTATAATAAATTAATTGTATTCTATTCTTTATATTATAATAATAATATTATAAAGACTTAACGTAGGAGTTTTAACGTAAATTGATTTTTATTTATAATTTTTATCTGATCATGTAAATTCTTTCACCTTGTAAATACTAGGCAAAGTCGCGGGAAAACAACTTATCATTACATATACTGGTAGTACGCAACCATTGTAATTCATCAATTTTATAAAATTAAGTGTATCTCAATGCGACTGAATGATTTATCTATGGTTCTCTGTAATTTCGCCGATTAAATGGATCCTTTTTTATATTTGAAGAAGTCCTTCCAAATATAGATTCCATAAAGTTATTTCAGGTTTGGAGAAGTAGTATTTTTGAAAAATAATTATCAGCAATTATTTATTTGTTTTCTTTATAATAATTATCAGTTTAGATTTGTATTCTGTATTGTCTTTGTAATCAGAGTGATTAAATTGCTCACCTCGATAATGTTGATAATTATATAATGTGTGTTTACAATTTACTTGTATATAACATGTTTTAACTTCTTTTAATGTTCTGCAGGTCTTCGGAAGATGAATCTGATTATGATGGGTAAGTGGACAGAATATTAATAATTTTTAATAATTAAATTACAGTTTATTTCATTTGCAATGTGTGTTGTGTTATATCTAAAGATCTCATCTGATAATGTTAATATTATTAATATTATAAATGTGAAATTTCTTTGTTTGGATGTTTAGATATTTGGATGTTTGTCGGTCAATCACGCCGAAACTACTGAACGGATTTTGATGAAATTTGGTATACAGATAGGGTATTAGCTGACTTAGATAATAGGATACTTTTTATCCCACTTAACATTTCCCTAGAGTCCACGCGAGCGAAGCTGCTGGCGAAAGCTAATATTATATAAAATGAGAAAAATATCAAGAGCATGATAATTTATACTTGAAGCGCGCGCCATAGGACTTAAGTTGTTTTGCAGCTGTTTTATTATTAAATCTCTAGGAAGGAGGGGCCGATAGCTACCTCTACTTGCCCTCTTGGCGACGCCTTTGTATATTTATATCTAAATTAAAATCTAAACCTTGATGCAGCAAAAGAAGAAGGCGGAAGAAGGACAAGAAACACACCACCAAAAATAGAAAAAGGAGAAGGAGAGAAACAGACATTTTGGGAGAAGATGTTGACCAACCGCTCAACATCGACTTGACGAACACTCTTAAAGAGTTGAGGAATTCATCGCCGACCAAAGAACTGGTGCAAGACATAGATGCTGGTCAACAAAGTTTGGTGAGGCGCGACTCCGGGGAAGAAGATGGTGATGGGAAGAGGAAAGATAGGCGGAAGAAGAAGGAAGAGAGAGAATACAGCGAGGGGGAGTGGTCGAGTGATAGTGAACAGGATTCCGCATCGTCAGCTAGCCGGATGGAGGAATGACTTGGTTAGTATAAAATATAATTATAGTAATATAAGTACAATTAAATTTGCCAACATTTTTCATAATAAGTATTTTTTTAAATAAGCTTAAAAAAGGATATTTCAAAAAATAAATAGCATCTACACATCAAATTCCACGGGAACCGAACATTACCTAATATAAATGCGTCAGAATATACAAGATATAAAATAATAGTTTATTCCAATGAACTTATTGAAGAAACGTTTAAATCCTTTAATTTTTTCTACTACCTGTTTAGGATACGTTTTGACTAAGAATATGAATGCGCGAAAGGAACTTAGTAACTATTAACAGAAGCAACATATGCATAAGCTATCTATCTGAGCAAAAGTTAATTAATTAGGTGCTCTCATAATGAAGAATTTATTTGTTAGATTTTGGTGTTGGAAATTATGAATTATGCCTATTATATAATATTTATTTAACAGTATATAGTACGCAGCCCCAAAATATAATACAAAACTCTATATTATAATTTAAGGGTTGTTCTTTAATATTCATTAACATTTTTTGTTTTCATTTTAATATAAAGTAAAAGCCTGTAGGTATATTGACAAAAATCAGTCATCGGTTAATTAAAAGCAACAGTTCAGTCGGCAACGTGTTTTGAGACATTTTTCTTCATTTATCTATCTGATGTCAGTAGCAAAAGAAGATGGAGTAACGAACCCATTTTTTTCTGTTAAATCAATTTAATTTGTGCCATTTTTTTACCAAGAAATGGCACAAATACCATACCATATAATTTTAACAATATATTAGGAAATATGTTGCAAATGGTAACTTATATCTCAACAATAAATAAATAGTACTTTTGAAGTAGTTAGTAGTTTTGAATAATTAACTCCGATTTATATAATCTGTGGATTACAAGAACTGACACGCGGGTGGCCATGATATAACATCGTGTGACATCACATTTCAAAAAGTAAACTTCAACGTTTTTGTTGCGAGTGCAACCTGCATGCGTAGCATGATAAACCCGATAACATATTTTAATAAATTAAAAATAATAAAGTATAAAACGTTGTCTACACCCCTATTAAAACTAGTTTTCTAGTTTATGCAATAAATAAATAATGTTTCTTATTTGTTTCAGGTTAAACCGTCGAGTTTCTAAAGACTAAATAGTAACAAGTATATTGTGCATTTTATTATATAAAAGTATGTATAAATAAATAGAGATTTTAAACATCTATCTGTAATTTTTATTTTACGGAAACCATTCAGATACTATAGCGGTTGTAAGTTCGAATCCCGCAGTAGACATTTTTAAAAAGAAACGCTTTTTTAATCATGAGTTACAAAGAATAATATTACTGCAGTCAATTTACAACTGAACTGAGATTAAAGTTTGAAATCGCTTCTAGTAATTTGTCTTTTTATGGAATTGATTGAGCCTGGATTGTTAGGTTAAAAGTTATAAAACGCTATTGGAAAATTACTTAGTTGTGGCATATCCGGTTACAGTTACGACTACATCGATCAACGAAAGTGTGCGCGTCAGGTTGGCAGCACCATCCTCTTCAATGTGGAAATGAATTCTTAATCCAACTAATTCCTTCTAGCTACATCAGTCCAATATGGACAAATGGCTAAGGTGCGTAGTTCCGGAGATAACCGAGTCTTTGTGGCGCTGCTGGGCTGACATCAGTCTAGCAGCGCTATAGCAAGAATTCTGTACTCATAATGAAATCCAAAACTTTCCAGGTCCTCTTTTAGTCTCTTATTTATCAGTTTCAATAATGAGAAAGAATATTACGTGGAAAATTTTACAAAAAATATAACGTCAAATCTGAAAATCAATGCCGTCTGTTGGCAATTTTGTTTCGAGGTGATCATGAGATACCTTGAGTGCATAATTGCCGATAAGATTTTCAATGAAACCTATTTAATAAAACAGTAATTCCATATTTATTTTCCACGTGCCCAGAGATAAGTATAATACACAAAGAACAAGGATTTATCTGAATAGTCCTGATTATGGAGTTGCTGTTATTGAGATGAGACATTCGATATAAAGGCATGTCAGGTTTCAATTAAATGTACTTTGCCACTGTATTATCCACCTTATGACATGTAGATAAATAATGAGAGATATTGGTATTATTTTGTGATGATAAAAGAGGATCATTACTAATCCAGCAATGGCTTACTGTTGTCTATCAAATAAGCATTTATCTTGCTTCCAGCGAGCATTAAACTCGAGATAATGCATTACTTATCTATCACTTTAAAGAGGGCGCCAATAAATAACTGCAAACAACGCACGGCCCCCCGTCAAGGCGTGCCGAACGGACATAGATCCTCGCTCGCTAACCTAACCTAACCTTCCAAGTAGGTAGGTAACCCACTCGGGAGGTTGTGCTTAAGTTTCTTAATATCGAATATACTACATATGCTGTACGTCCATTGCAACTGCGGATGAACGTCCGGGAACGACGTCTTAGTGAGGCTATGGCGATATTTTCGTTTCATTTAACTACTTTGACTTCTTTTGGTGAAACGAACTAAATTGGTAACACTGCTGTTAAAATCAACATCAGCTCTATGATTCTGTAAAAATACGAACCCGAATTCGAATTCATTACGGTGTCCGGGCTACAGGGGCCACCATAGAATAAGGAAAAATGGTGCCAAAGCTTAACATGCTTTCCGAATCAAGGAGGAATTCGACATTTTTTTTTTGTCGCCCATCCTATGACCAGCTTATCACTGCGGCCTGCGCCATTGAATTACTCGTACTAGTGTACTAAAGCCTTTACACTCAATGTTGTCATTTGTGTGAATGTCGATACCACCGTAATCTCTTTATAAACTCTAACTTTATAAACACTAGGCTTAGTATTATCTAATCATTTATCTTTATTGTTATTATGTTTATGAATAATTTTAGTTTATCTTGAGAAAATTCCATATTGGAATCCACCTTTTCTTTAAGTATTTGCTACTACCTGATACACCTTTAAACTTCAACGCTACGTTTACGTAAAATACATAAGTATTTTAAGGACATTTCGGCTGTTCCAAAATAAGTTCAATACTTACCTGCCATTCATTTAAAAACTACGTTTTCCATATTTTGATTTTACTAGTCTCAAAAGTTACTTTTTAGAAAATACTGAAAATAAAAGAAAAGATATAAAGTTAAAAAACAGGCCAAATGCGAATCGTACTCGCGCACGATGGGTTCCGTACTGGAAACCAGCAAAAATATCACGTTTGTTGTATGGGAACCCCCTTAAATATTTTTATTCCGATTTTTGGTATTTGTTGTTGAAGCGGCAACATCTGTGAAAATTTCTACTGTTTAAATTGTTCTTTTAGGCGAAGTCCCGGGAAAACAGCTAGTACGATAAAGGGAAAATTTTTCAGTGATTGTTTGTTTACATTAACAAGGCTTCGTAACTACAGAACCAATTTAAAAAATCTTTTACCTACCTACGGCCCGTAGTAGGCCCTCATAATTATATGACCTGTAAGCCCCGAATGTCTCTGATTAAAAGAAAATTACGTTAATTTTACGTTCAGTCCAAAGCCATGTCATTGTCTTTCCACGTAAAGAGACTAATTTGTAATACTAAATATTTTTTTCCTGGCTCTACTCAGGCATATTAAATGAATATTTTTATTAATCACCTATTAATAAATTATGGCTGAAATAGATTAGGGATTATTAATAGCTAAGAATTAAAATAACATTCTGAATCAAATGTTCAAAATTTGATCTAAATTAAGATTAAGATACCTACATGCATTCTACATATCTTAACATGCCTCTGTTAACGTTATTGGCCTTATGTCTGTCTGTAATAAACGAGACGATGAGGAAAAAATAAATTATTGAAATGAAGTGAAGACAGATCATTCATTATTTAACAACGACGCTACAATTAGAGTTGGTACGTCCATCATACGCAACAGAGTAAAATGCAACGATAGGGTTTTCAAAACTATGCTATTATTTTGACGATGTCATGACTTAGATGTTGATCAATATTTGCTTCAAACTCAAACTTATTGGTGTAAATTTTTGTGTAGGTGCTTTTCTCTAAACTAAAAAATAACTTATATAATCGAAAGCATCATTAAGTCGTGTAGAGCGACCACCTAACTCTGTAGCCATGAATATAGCCATAGGATACGACATCTAATTAATGTTATGGCAATATTTCGTTTAATTTTATTACTTTGATATGTACTTTAGTAACGACGAACGCACGATAAAAATGATAGTTATGGATTTGATAGCTTTGTTACCAACTTGATAATACCGAATTTATCCACCAAAAGACATGTCAAAGCAGTAACATGAAATAAAATATCGTCAAACATCGCTAAGATTTCGTTTTCAATGGCTAGAATCAAGGCTAGAGAGGTAGGCGGTTGCACCCCACGGATGCACCAATATCTTTTATTCAGTTTAAACTGTTAAAAAACTGCGCTACGTAATAGGTTCACGTTCATAAGTTCATCTTCTACTGAGAAAATTGATAAAAAACTCAGCCAGAGTTTTTTAAAAGCTGCTCTCTATTGAAAATCCCAATCATCCTAAATGGATGGCTTAATATTAATACAAAGGTTTAATAATTTTAAAGAGAATATAAAATTATTAAAACTGTGTAATTCTTCTGACAGCACAGCGCTCGTCGTCAATTTCGAGTCTATCTCAAGAAAACTACTGTGTTTTGTACTGTGTATATACAATATCAAGATTTGTGCACTATTTAAAAAAAACAGATAAAAACGCCTTAATACCTTCGAATCTGAGGCTCATTTCAATTAATTTTTTTTTTTTTATAGAAAAACTAAGTTCAATCTTTTTTGTAAGTAACCATCAACAGATCGTAGCCCTATAGAGGTCAGTTTACAAGTGCGCATCTGACATACGACTTCCCCTGTAAAGGCGGTTTATAAATAAAATGTTACATTGGCCAAAGACAAAAATAACACAATATGTTTTCTATCTATAAATTAATGCAATAAAAAATATATAGAACTAGATAATTTCGTATCAACCTTTAAACCTTTAACGTTGAAACCAAAATTAGCTAAATCGGCCCAGCTGTTCTCGAGTTTAAGCGCGACAATAGAACAGCGATTTATTTATAAACATATAGCTCAAAATTTAAAGCTATATTTTCCTGGCGTTTTAAATGAAATAATTTTGGAATAGGTGTAACAGACAATTCGAACTTATTCTTTTATTTGTCGTGACCTAACTTATGCTTCTAGCGTGGTTTTAAAGAAGTCATCGGATCTTGTAAATTTAATTAAAATTCCAATACAGTATTAATCATTAGATGTATTTTAACAGAATGCAATGTCACCAATATCTAAGGCAATGTAGATACGCAGTTGAGCTCCAATAGCAGCTTCTCATTGGTGCCGATTCTTTGTACCTATTTATTCATTTGCAGTTCCATCCAACCTAATCTTCATCCTACTTCAACACTAAAGAAGCCTTACAATACTCCGGATAAATTTCTTACGCATCTAGACTGCTAATCTTGCGTCGAATAGCTGCTACTTGTACTTTCCTTAATCATCACCGATTTCAATATTTACATAAGTAATATACAACGAAATAGTATGCGAAAAAATCGGTTTTGTGTATTTTTTTCTTTTCTCAAAAACATTGTCATAAAATCTAATCTATAAATCGAATAAAATCTATAAATCTAATAAATTTTCTTTATATTATATTTCTCTGACTACGCATACACACAACTTAATTGAATCTATTTTAATAAACATTGTTGTCAAAAAAGTAAATACATACGCAGTGAAAATATGGGAGCATAAAAGGGGATAGAACATAGCCTAGGGTCATCAAGGCTGCATGTCTGCATCGTTTTTGATGCACCTTATTTAGCCGTAAACCAGGGCACTCCGACCACCCGGCCCTAAAAAGGGCAGGTTAATGTGGAAGGTCTACCTGGTAAAACCCGCTGCTCACGCAGATAGGAAGACCCCTTTATCCTGCAAGAAGGGCTCATCCGCATCCGGTTGGACTCTTATATTTTCGAGATGATCTCATCTTTTACTCATCGGACTTTTGTTTTTTGGTTAATCTGCACAATTGTAAACCAAGCCGATGAGGCGGCCGACGATCTGGTCGTCAATGAATCAATAATAATTAATCAATCAGTCTTTACTGTGCAACAAATAACTTACAATTTGGATGACATATTGT